ACACACACACACACACACACACACACAGATTGAAGCAGCTCTTTGCCTCTGCAACAGAGGGTCTCCAGCACACCTGTTCTTGATCCACTGCTGCCATTCCTTCCCACAGGCAAAGTCATCCTTTCAACCCCCTCAGAAACTAATGCATATATAACTACAGAACTACAGACAAACTGCAGCTGCTCCAGCTAGCCCCCTTGAATGTCGGCATGTGTGTGTGTGTGTGTGTGTGTGTGTGTGTGTGTGTGTGTACGGAGCCTTGTCCCTCATTACTGGTGTGCAAGCGTAAAAGCAAGAGCAAGTCGATCACATGGACTCCATCTCAATCCGACAAAGACATGTACACCCCACAATGTCAAGTGTATAAAGCACAGTGCACCTCATGTATTCGCTGTCATCCTCAAACACAGTGAGACAATGGTCACTGTGTTGCATTATGTAATGTGTCTACTGTCATTTCACCCAGAGGACACTACAACAGGACCTTCTCTTTGACTTGCTACAAGTTACTCCTGGATGGGCCAGGATCAAAAGCGTGTATCCCTCTGTGTGTGTGTATGTGTGTGAGAACATGTGGGTGTGTGTTAGAGAATGCTACACTATTGAAAGAAGTATAGACAAGGGAACTAACTCAAAGCTATGTTTGTGAGCCAGTCTGAGGGACAGAAAGATACAGCTAAAGATTTAGTGAGGCGAGAATGGGGAGATAGTATATATGGAGGCCGATGTATAAGAATGAGACATGAACACTAAGTTATGGATGTGTGTGAGCATGCTGGTGTGTGTGCGCGCATGGCAACATTAGGCAGGCAGAAAGACAGGAAGCACTGCTGTGGGGAGCAGGAACAGCGGTGCTGATCAAAGCCCAGGCGGGTGACACTATGGGCGGAGTGCCATTGTTTATTCACCAGCCACCTCTCCCTTTTGGCAGGGCGAGGTGAGCATGTGTGCTTGTGTGTGTGTGTGTGTGTGTGTGTGTGTGTGTGTGTGTGTGTGTGTGTGTGTGTGTGTGTGTGTGTGGAGACAGACAGAGAGTTTGAGACAGAAAGAGTTCGAAGATACAGAGTTGGAAAGATATAGGGTGTGAGAGAGAAGAGAGAAGAGACAAGGCCTGTGTGTGTGTGTGTGTGTGTGTGTGTGTGTGTGTGTGTGTGTGTGTGTGTCTTTGTACCTTTCTCTTGGCAGGCTAATGTGGGCTTGAGTTCTGTCAGATTTGGCAGCTGCACATTTCAGGCACACACTCTCTCACACACACACACACAGGCAAACACACTGCCTGTGCACACGGCCACACACGCACACATCGTGTACTAAAGTAATCCCAATAACCTCCCTATTAAACTTCACATTCACCTCCACCCCCTGCGTCTCATGAAGGGAAAAAAACATCCACGTTTTAGACATTTTTCCAAAAAACCACATGTAAGGAAACAGATGACATCAGGAAGTGAATAATCCTCTCACCTAAACACTGGCTATGTCCCAATGTGCTGCACAGGCTTCCTCTATATTGGTTCCAGTTCCCCTTAACTGATATGAAGAGACTGGACAGATGAAAGCAAACACACTTTCATGTTGCTTTCACCTTCGACAGTCCTTTGACACAACGGCCTGGATCCAGAGTGCTTAAACTGCCCACTCCTGGCTTGCCCATTATGAGATAATTGGTAACCTAAATATAACTGGCTGCAATTCCGATTGTGATATCATTCAAAGGCAACAAAGGTAGGAAGTAATGTGAACAATTGGAAGGGCAATATACATGTTTCTCTTTATTTGTTATCCAATGTGTGAAACGTCAACTTCCTGTTCCTGATTCATGGATGTGTTGAGGTTTAGTCCACATCTTTTTGAATTTCCCACTCCACTATATTCATGTGTGGAACATAAAAACCAAAACAAGGAGCTAAAAGAGGCTAAAACTTTGAGAGTTGGGTTCAACAGTACAGGAAGCCCTTTCATATAATTTATTTGAAAAGTTAATGTATAAAAAGTATCATATTGAGCTATAGGGTTAAAACAGATCGAAGTTACTTACTGTAGTGCCCAAAAGTCTTTCTGCTCATTTATCTCAACAGGCGATCGCACTAGCTGCACACGTCACGTCTGCAACACACACTATTTGATTTAGTCCATTTCCTATTAAAACTGAGAAAGCCCTGCAATACAAGTATACACCAAGCAGGCACCCACTCAAGTGCTTATTCCTACATGAACACACACACACACACACATATTCAAAAATACTCCACCAAAAATGTCACTTATACATAAAAACCCAGATAATGAGCATACTTAACTGTACTACGTTGTTCTAAAAAAGGGCTTTACGAGATGCAACGGTCTCCGCGGTTAACACCCATATTTAAGAAGTCACAAGTACAGTAGAGCCACAGAGGGAGCTAAATTCAGGAGAAATGGCTGAACGGGCCTGGCGATGAAAAAAAAAAAAAAAAGGGACATCTGATCCGGTGCAGCATGCATTCTGAACAACTGTTTTGGGATTATCCCAATTCAAATGCGCGGCTAACTTTGATGTTATTTTCTTCCCCTCCCATTGTCTGAAGCCCCTCGCTCTCTTCATAATCCGAGCCCTTTGAAGTGAGCAGCATGGAAACAATGTCAGCAGGCGACACACTCCCTCGATGGCCCACTGACAGCTCTCCGCCATTTCTTTCAGGCTTTTTTGTCTCTCTCTCTCTCTCTCTCTCGCTTTTCTTCCCTTGTCCTTCTGTTTGCTGTCCCAATCCTCACACTTCCTCCACCCCTTTGTTGGTTCTTCCTCTCTTTCTTCCCCTTCATTGTGCACCATCTCATCAATCTCCTATCCCTCTTCTTTCAAGTTTACACCAAATATTTATCTTATTTTTATAATGTTCTTGCTGTTTGACAAATCTTACCTTCCTCTCCCCCATTGATTATTCCTTCCACTCATGTCTGGCCCTTTAATAAGCATTCAAACCATTAATTGAAGTCTCATTAGCGGGTGGTTAACACAGGGGGGATCGTAATAATGAGGATACAGATAATGGAGACAGAATGCCTTTGTCTGCTCCCAACACAGATGCCAAGGCCCGTGACTTGTAACACAGCCTACAACGGGGGAGACTGTGTGTGTGTGTGTGTGTGTGTGTGTGTGTGTGTGTGTGTGTGTGTGTGTGTGTGTGTGTGTGTGTGTGTGTCATGGTATAGTTAGATTACAACAATATGAGCAATCAAAGCCATAGTTAGTGCCACCAAGTCTACATTAAACACCATTACATAATAAAAAACACTTACATTTAAGATCTAATGTACATCAAGTGTAAAAGCCGGCCCACACTTAAAGATTTGTGTAGACAGACACCACGAATACTGACGTGATGACATTTTCATGGTTCCCACAACACACAATAGGATAGAAGATTACAATGTATTTAACATGTTTAATATTTACGATTTCAAATATCGTCTTTATGCTCATGCCCAAGTATGTGTAGCTGCATCATGGTGAAATTATGTTTCCGTCGTTTTTAACGAGCAAACTTTAAAAAGTAATCAGCTCATCTTTCTCAGTGTTTTGCGTGTGTGTAGCCCCGCTTAAGATAATTTCCTGAAGCTTTTTCTTTTAAATGTTGAATGTGTTTCTGAATGAGTGACAAAGAGATTCTAAAAAGATCATCTGGACTGAATGACTTTGGCCACATAACCACTACCAGCCTTTACTGTCAATCATATGGATAACAACAGACATTTCAAGCATTAGGTGTGCAGCAGGGCCAGGGCAGGCCGGAGCAAACTGACATTTCCGAGCGAGGGGAGGGGGGGGGGAGTGGGGGG